ATGACTTATTACATATGACATCTGTGACAGTTCGATGCGGATTGCATTTCCATACTATTTTTTATTATGTTGTTATTATTCCCATAATTAATTAATAGCACACGACATAAAAAGGTAAAAATAGGAAACAACTGCAACAATGAACATGGAATTACATCAATTTGCAGAATTGATGTTTGAAAACACTTTTACCACTGTGCAATGTGCCATGCCTGAGCGCGTGAATTTCAGACAATTTGATTAGTCAACTTTAAATCCTTATAAATTGAAAACTATTGTAGCCACGACATTTTGATATTAGACTTTCTCGAAATGATCTCAGGAATCTGCCTTAACGCGTGTCACGGTAAGTCTGGGACACCCTATATATATATATTTGTAAAAATTAGAAAGTATTTTAAATAATATTGCAAAAAAATTAAAAATTGTAGATATAAAATATTTTACTTTCACTTATAATTTAATATTAATTAAAATTTTTTTCTTTAATTAATGCGCGTGCTTGTGTATGTGTATGTAACATAAATCGAGAAATATTTTAATTTACATAGATAATTATAAAATATTTTGTGTCATATTAAATTATGTTTTCAAAAGAATAATTATTGCAAGAAGATATAATAATTGGATTTAAAAATGTGTAGCATTTACAAATTGCTAATGTATATAATATAAAAAAAGTACACTTAAATTCAAATTCTCATTTGAATTTAAAATTGTTGTTAACTTTAAGTAAGAATAAATAATAATTTTTAAAAATTTATATTCAAATAATTTTTAATAATTATACGATTATATATACGCATATGTATTATGTAAAAATTTTGTATTTAATATTTTAATTCTTAACTTAAAGTCATTACGATTTCAATACGAATATAATAAACAAGAATGGTTCTTATTCGAGAAATAAGCGAGAAATAAACCGATTTAAGCGCATCATGCAAAGTATATTTAGTATGGGCAACATCAGAATACTATTATTATTTTTGTTCATTTAATCATTCGTTCATCTATGCACTCGCGAAAAAATTTTTCGAGTGCATAGAAATTCAGCTCGCCGCAATCATATTATACGACATTTCCAGAATTTAATACGCATGTTATCTTTTAATGTATAACATACGGAGTCAAACCGCAAATTATCTATCCGTTTCAATTGCCTACGTTATTCTGTTCACCCGCATCTTGTCGCTTTGTCCCGATGTTCGATCCACAGAGAGCATTTACCTTTTGTCAAAACGAGTTTGGGAGAATTAAAAAAGACAAGTTCCGTTTGCGCGAAATTGACGCAATGTCCAACGAAGAAATGCGCGGCAATGACTTTCGGCGCGGGCCGCCGTTCGAGAATATATATATAGCGATTCGATAGTATCGCGCTTACGTGAACTCTGCACTCATCGAGCTACACTGCGTGTAGATACGCGATACGGGATACGGGGTGTAATTCGCGATAATTCGCGCGTATCACGGTGTGGTTCGATTATTCAGAAAGTCGACGAAGCTCTTTTCATTTCTTCTCGAGGATTTCGTGATCATCCTGAGCATTGCGCGCGGGAATTGCGCTTATGATTGGCCGATGGATCAGTACGCGAAGGAAGGTGCATCCGAGGTACGTGGCGTATTTCGAGGTTATGGCGACCGGGCTGTCAGACACTCGCGCAAGCGAAAAGAAAACTCCGCTATTTTGTTCAAACATAAAAATTCTTTTTTACAAGTTGTTTTGACATTATATGGCGGGTTCTGATATTTCTCTGATGAAATTTTCCGTGCGTATCCTGCGATTTTTGAGATTCTGTTACACATACGTTATGAGACATTCGTGCGAACATTTCGGAGCAGAAAAGAGAACATTTCAATACGATAGAAATAAATTGAGTTACAGTATGGAAAATTTTTTTTAAATTATTTAAAACGTTAAAAATTGAAGGAATCTCTTCATTTGTGGAAACAAATAGAACTGCCATCAGTTTCAATGTGTTAGTAATGGATGAAAAAAGACATCGCAATAAAAAACATTGTATAATTTAAAATTTTAACGAAATATTAGATAAAATTAAACGATGAAATTATAAAGATATAATTGGACATTTTGAAATTAATTAAACATGGTCTACGAAATATTGTAATATTGCTCGAAAATCAATTGCTTGTTTTTACGAATTATTTTATTTCCAGGCAATTTGTTTACGTATCCATTTGATACGCGGCTGTATTTTCTTCATGATGTATTTAATAATAAACATTCGTACTTAAAAAAAAAAATAAAATTCATCGATGAGAAATATTTAATAATAACAGTGAACATAATTTTACTTCTGTTTATGATTGTCAATTTACGAAAAATAAAATTTTGTTGAAACTGTTGTGTCTGTTGTGAGATAAACATAATTATATGAATATATGCAAAATCTCAATAATGTTACGCGTAAGAAACATATCTTGTATGATATAAAAGTTCGTCAAACGCGGTCTATGTTATATTACCATTTTTATTTTATAAATATTTTTATATTATTATTTATAAATTATTTCCAATTATTTTTATATAATTTTGAGGTGTCGAAAAATTATTTCTCATGGAGATTTAAGGGATAAGTGCAACTTTGAGTAGTTTTTTAAGAAATTAATTAAATTTAGAGTTTTATTTACTTTATCTGCTCTTCAATCGACAAAAAAATTTGCAAGTTATTTATAAAGATTATACAGTAAATTATGTATAATATGTTATTACAGCAAAACACGCAAAATGTATTACAAACGTAATGTCATTTCATTTGGAGTTGTTACAATAGCATTAAATTAATTTGCAATAATATTTTGCGCACGTGGTATAATCAAGATTCTTGTCTTGATATTGCATATGCGATATACGAAACTATAATCTGGTAAAATAGAAAGAAATGAGAGCATTAGAAGCTTGTAAAATCATAGATCTAAATTAGAACCAATTCTAAAAACAGATTAGAACACGCGTTACGAAACGTATGTCGCCTATGTGGCTTTAGTTACACGTTCACGTCGTTACGAATCTTAGATAACAACACTATCAATGTCACGGGAAAAATGCATTTTTTACAAATTCCGATACAAGCTCCACGAAGTAATCAGTAATCATCGCACGAATCTGCAACTTCCCTTGTGACATCAATATTAATCGTTAATGGTTAATCGCATTCTAATAAATATATAAGTTTTATATATTTCTCTATGAGTCTCATTAACGTTTCTAAACTATAGAAATACTCTATAACAGACAATGCATCACAAACTGATTTTTTCTTATCATGATAAATTAATTTCAAAGGAATTTTTTTTCTAATTATTATTTTATCTAATTTATTCTTTTAATTATTTTGGTATATTGATAATATGCAATTTAGAAATCAAATATCAAATGTGCGCGAAAGATAAAAGTTTGTTCAAAAATTTGTCATCGGAGCTTTTTTCACGTTTCCTTTTGAATCACAGTATTCATCGGTGATCTGCAAAGGAAAAGCCATCGAGGATGAGCCATGCGAAGGTACAAGAAGATCATTACGGACATAATAAACTCCGTCATAGAAAATTAGAGAAGAGCAGCCCATCACCAAACAAAATGGTGGGATTGGGCAGTGATGAGCTATTCATTTCCAACATTGCCGATGTTAATAATATGGAATTGGAAATCAATTCTGAGGATGAGAGCGATGAAAACGAGAGGGGCGATATACAGCGACTGATTCCGTCGCCGGTGAACAGTGAGAACGTCGTATTTAGCATCGGTAAAAAGGACCAAAGGAACGAGACGGAAAATGCAGACGATGAAAGCGTCTGGTCTATATCCATCCAGATGTTCATACCTTTTCTACTTGCCGGCTTTGGCATGGTTGCCGCTAGCTTACTGTTAGACGTAGTACAGGTATTGAAAATTGATTTTGAAATATCAAAATCTAACTAATATATAATATATTTTGAAAAAGGAGATAAATAAAGCATATTTAGTAGCAATTTGATTTTCTCCGTCAACTTTTTTATTACATCTATATTAAAAATTAAAATCATGAGCTTATATCGCTCTAACATGAATTTAGGAATGATGTAATATCCTGATCTTATAGCGAAACATTAAATTTTAGCATTGGCCAGTATATCAGGTGGTATCCGAAGTATATATATTAGTTCCTGCGCTATTGGGATTGAAAGGAAATCTGGAGATGACATTGGCCTCCAGATTGTCGACTCAGGCTAATTTAGGACAAATGGATACGAAAAAGCAGCAATGGACATTGATCGTTGGAAATTTAGCCCTAATCCAATGTCAGGCTATGGTAGTGGGTCTTCTGGCGTCTTTGGCGGCCGTGATTCTGGGTTGGGTCCCGGAAGCTCACTTCGATATACATCACGGACTCTTGTTATGCGCCAGTGCTTTGGTCACCGCTTCCGTAGCCAGTTTTCTGTTAGGCCTCGTGATGGTCGCAGTCATATTGCTGTCACGACGAATGAACATCAATCCTGACAACGTAGCTACCCCAATCGCGGCCTCCTTAGGGGATTTAACTACTTTAGCTCTTTTATCCTGGATCGCTTCTTTATTGTACAACGCGATAGGTATAAATGAAAAATTGATTTATTTTTTGTGTTTATTATATTTTAATAGAACAGAAATCGACAGGAATGAATGTTTCTTCAGGTTATGCCCCATGGGTAGCCCCAACATTGATAGCATTTTGTATATTTGTAACTCCTGTTTGGGGTTATATAGCAGCTAGAAATCCATTTACTAAAGAAGTATTGGATTATGGCTGGACGCCTGTGATATCCGCGATGTTAATTAGCAGGTAATATAAATACTTCTTTTTATATATTTGATAAAAATTCATCAAATAAACATGTGAATTAACGAATAACATTGATTTCAGTCTCGGTGGATTAATTTTGGATTACACCATATCGAGCTACAAAGGCATAGCGGTTTTTCAATTAGTAATTAATGGCGTTGGGGGAAACTTGGTCGCCGTCCAGGCTAGTAGAATATCAACGTCTCTACATAAAGATTGTCACATAGGTGTTCAAGGAACTCTTAACGTTTGTATTAGTCCTTTCCATGCGTTCTTTGCTAAAGGTGAGTTTGCTACAGACATTTATATACAAGATATAACACACTTTTATTATAAATTTGAAAAAGAATTTTTATATTATAGGAGGACACGCGAGAACAGCCAGAGTATTGCTAATGATGGTAATACCAGGACACTTGATTTTTAGTTATACTATTAGTTATCTTCAGGCGGGACATACTTCGTTTACACCAATATTTATTACAATATATTTAATCGCTGCAATGATGCAGGTACATCACATATTAATTTGTATCAATTAATGTGATACAACCTGAAATTTAAAAAAGAAATATTAATTAAATTTGTCCCGCTTAATTTTTAGGTAATTCTGTTATTATATATTGCGCAATTAATGGTTGTTTGGATGTGGACAAGAGGTATGGATCCAGACAGTTCCGCAATACCATACTTGACAGCGGCAGGTGATCTTATAGGAACTGCCTTGCTTGGAATTGCCTTCCATATCCTTTATGCCATAGGCGATGGCGACTCTGATGTAGGAGATTGATTGGTAAAGTTTATAGAATGCTCTGAATTTTTTATAATGCACAGATTGTAAACTTTGGAATGATTTTGAAAGATCGGAAGTCTAATTTAAATTAGCAAATTGCGATGCATAATATCAATTGTGAGATTTCGAGATTATCAGTGATTATCACTATCACATTGTAGCGACTTTTATTTTCGAAAACTCTGTTTGACATCTCTTTATATGAAAAGAATATGTTAAGAGTACAAATTAAATTAAGCATATATCCGTTAAGGTATTCTAAATGCCAAAAAAAGAAATACAGTATTTACCAATATTAATTTCATTTTATCGATAATTATGTGATACATCATGTAATTATAAATATAAAATTTATAATTAAATTGAATCACAGTGCCAGTAAATATAGGCCAGTATATATGCATACATATATCATTATATATATCATTTTATATATATATATATATATATATATATATATATATCTATTATTATT